CCCTCTCTCTCTCTCTCTCTCTCTCTCTCTCTCTCTCTCTCTCTCTCTCTCAGGTAAACCATAGAGGGTAAAACACCTGCTATGACAGGACTGGACATGCTTATTGCAGTGGACAACATAACTGACAGTTTCTTTGAAAAACAGGTAAATCAACCCAAACACTTGCAACACGAGGCCATTAGGGCTTATTTTCATATTTAAATAACGTGCCTTTCCACCTAAAACATTTCAAGTGTTTAGCTTTTCCCCAAAATGAATAGATGTCGAAATATTCTGATTGATAGATAATAAAAACGCAGCTGTTTTCCAAATGATTCCCAATGTTCTTTACAAGTATTTTCAATGTTCTGAAGTTAAGCCATATGTCATCGTGTGCAGTGTCAAAATAAAATATTAAAATATTTTATATCAAATGTATAGGTAGCTACAATATATTTTTAAATATATGTACTTTACGACACATATAAGGCTAAAAGTTATCTTCAAATGACATCGAGCGCCTTTGATGGTTTAATGTGCATATGTCAAGATTAAGAACTGAAAAATACTAATTTCTATTGAAGCCGAAGTGATTGTAAGATGATCTTTAGGCCGGACGTGCCCATGATCCAGATGCTCAAGCTGTGTCTGTATACTGAAGGCTAAATGAGGACCATCAAATCGAAACGAAAAGACATTTAGTCGAATCAACTATGGATAAACTCATATTAGTGCACTTAAAATCAGCTCAATGAAACAGTGTCACACGTCTGCATGAATGCCGTGTCTTACCTCGGACTCATGTCTGGTGCTCTGGCCGTGTGTCTGCTCTCCTTTTCGGGATTCCCTCATTAGGATCAACGAAGCTTTCTTTCAGTTCCGGCTCTCTCTCAAAAACTCTCTTCCGCGTTATTTTTGAGCCTTGTGTCTCCCGGTTTTCCACTTATTTAACACTCTTCCCTTCACTGAGTATCTGACGTGTTAACAACACCAACTGACACTTCTCACTGTGTTGTGGTCCGCTCGGACCAAACCTGCCGGTGGAGAGTCCGCGCGCACAGCGACACCCAATGGCACGAGCCGGTCCCATCGGCCTCTCCATGGAGGACAGGCTGGGCCTTTTTTGGGGGGAAATTAAAAAGGTTCAGGGTGGAGGATGTATTGTGATATTTTACTAAAAGCAAAAGTTTTACGTTTTGCATTTAAAAAACACAAAAGCACCGAAAAATACTTTGATAAACATTTTTTATATGATTTGATATGTTATTGCTATCATTGTTGTTGATGCATGTTTATGTATCTTGTGTGTATAATATTGTAATATTGATGATGGTGTTTTAAGTGTAGAATTGTTAGTTGAAAGTAACTATTGCTGTCAGAGTTTGTTTTAATATTGTAGAGTTTTAGTGCAATTGATTTGAACACTTTTTTTGTCGTAAACATCACTTAAAGCTGGATTATTTTAGTTCATACGATAAAAATAATGAATCTGTGTACTGGGGCTAACTGGCTTAAGTGTCTCTAAAAAGTACATTTGAATGATTTAATCTACTGTATCTGAACAGATCATGACAGGCCTGTGTGTTATTATCTCTTTAAGTCTTTCCATTGCCATTCTGATGTGTTTGAAAGACGGTAGATTGAAATTGATGAAACTATTTATTTCACAATTACTGTGGCCATTAATACACAGCCAATGTGATCCACTTAAACACAAACCAGACTGAACCCTCTTTATTTTTGTTTTGATCACAACAGCAGCTGACAATCTCGTAACGCATGCGTCTCTTCCTCCTGAAATGATCCAAGTTCAAGGTGCTGATGTTTCATTGAAGTGATGCAAGATACCCCAAGAGCCTGTCGCAGTGCAGTAAGGTATTGTCTTTCACTTCCATGTTCTCATGATGAACTGTTGATAACCTCCCAGAGAGAGGTAGGCAGAGCTGCGCAGAGAATAGATCTATCAAGGATGTGACAGCGTGTTTCGATTCATGGTCCAAAATAGTTTTTTCCACTTAAGGAAACACATAGTGATGTCAGGTGGTTCTGTCTTTTATATCTTGCTTTTCTTTCTATTTTTAAATTGTATAACTTTAAAAAGTAAAATTATGGCTTGTTGTGTTATTCAACCCCTGCAGCCCTTTGCCAAAAACTGCATTTCTGTGTTTATATATCTGATAATTGTTATTATTGTTAGTATTAGCCAGGTGTTTCTATCTCATTAGCTCCAAATATTAATGCATTTAACATTTTCTTTTAAAGAACCAGCAATGTGTTTAAATGGACGAAATGTTGTGTGAATTATTGCATTCAAGATATATGATGAATGCAAGCGCAAGCAGACTGAACATTTATGTTACAAAATGCATTGTTTTAAGATGACAACTCATTACAGTCCAGCTAATCAGTAATATTTGTGAAATTATTGGCATATTGACGATGGCTGCAGTCTCTACATAACCAATAAATAACATGCAAAATGTGAGTAACAAAATGCCTTTATTCAAGTAAATATTTGTCACACAGCGTTCTGACTTCAGAGGGGTCAGGGGTATATGCTTAGCTTTTGAGAACAAGACATTTTCATAAACATTAGATACACTTGCCACAGGTTTTTCAGACCTCCATAACAACATGAAAGAAGGAGTTACAGCCAATAATTGTTGGTCATTTTGATTGTCAGAACCAGACACTTTAACGTTTTGTCTGACAGCAAATCAGCTCATGGCTAGAATAGATAGGTACAGTATGAATTTTAGGTGTTTACAGTGACATGTAAACGGGTTTTCAAACCGTTTACTATTACTTTATTTAAGAAGAAGTGTGATACTTGAAAAAAACGAGTTAACTACTTAATTTAAGATTATTTGTGTGTCTCAGGGTACAGCTGTTGTCTTCCCACACAAATGTTATCTCACAAATCAATCAATCCCCGGAGGCCTGCGTTTGTCATTAAACTTCAGCCTGTCCAAACACAATTTAACATACTGTAATGTGGAGTGCAGCAAACCTGAAACACTGAACTTCTAATGAACTGAAAAAGCCTCCAAGTTGCTGGTTGTAAGCAATGATTCAATTAAAGCTGTGAGCTGAGCCCCAAACACAGCCCGGGGAGCCCATCCCAAAGACTGCACTTCCCCAAAAAGCAACCCTCAGTGAGGAACCAGAGCTGCAGATAAGGCAGGCCGGACAGCTAAATCCCTTTACAGTCTGCTGTCACCCTCTAAATCACACACCTTTCCCACCATTTCTCCAAGTGTGAGCCTTGCAGGTTTTACATGTGATATATATCTTGCAAAGGGCTTTGTGGTTTGGATATGGAAACACAATAAGGAGGTGAATACTGAATGACTGTGGCCAACTTTTTCAAACATCTGTGTGCAGATATGCTGCAGGGTCACCATGTCTCCAAGGCCCAAACCACCTCGTTTCAATTTAGGTTATGAGTGAAGACTATTGCAATGGCCTTATTACTGCTGCATTCTGCCCGCCAGCACAGGGATAGAGCGAGGCTGGACAATAGACAGGACAGTCTGAATGTAAATCCAACACCTCCAAACAGACCATCGGACTGTAATGTCCAACACTTTGTTAAACTCCTCACTGAAGACCTTTTGCTCCCTCTTCTTTCTCTCCTTTTCATAAATCATCTTTCTTTGTTTCTTTCTTTCCAGTGGACATGGCAACACATATCTCCAGATGCTTGCTGTGACCACCCCACCATACCAGACACACCCCCTCCAGCTTCAGACTCCATCCACCACCAAAAATTGAACGGTAGGCTCAACATTTACACACAGACCTCTCTTAATTCATTGTAATGAGCAGGTTTGCGACAGCTTTAGAGGACAGGCGTGCAAGCCATGTCATTGGGTTGAGCAGAGCTGTTTGGTCGCTATTCTAGTTCGCCCATCTGCTGGTGATGAGCAATGATCATGCCAAATCAGAAATACTCTATTTTAAAAACTGAAAAGTGTACAGATGAAAAGTAAGCTTTAAATCCTAAATTATTTCTGGTTTTGCGCACGCTCGTACCATGTCTGGTTTTATTCCTTCAATGTGATGCTATAAATACATCTTACCCTCAGCAGGGTGGTAGAGGTTTGTTTCTAGTTCCTGTGTATGCAGACATTTAAAGGTGGGGTAGGTAAGTTTGAGAAACCGGCTCGAGATACACTTTTGTTATATTCCATGGAATGCTCTTAACATCCCGATAGCAATGAATATCTTAAGTGCTGACAAAAAAATCCATAAAAAATGTCATCTGTGGAAGCCGTAGTGCTGTAAAAAGCACGACCAATCATTTGAGCCGGCCCGGCTAAAATAACTGGATGGCCTACCTGCTTGTCAGCCTTCCATCTGTGCACAAAATTATCTCGTGCCCTCATTGGTCATGGGCGCGTTCGTGTGTGTTGG